AGTTCCTGCTTTGCTCTCGTGCTGGGACTCCTGTCTGTTTCTCCAGTAGTACACTGACGACACAACCACACTTCTAAACATCACTACTATCCCTTTAAGTGCACAATAACATCTGAAAAGAGTCGTAATGTTGCAAAGGTATTTCAGTGGATAAAGCTGATTAGGAATTGGCCACCAGTAGCAGCCCGTAGCTGTAAAACACAGCCGTAAACATTGATCATAAAAGGAGAAGACAGGCTAAGAGATGCACGGCTGTCACCTGAACGGTAGCTGCAGCTCCTCGTTCCAGCAGGGGTTCGGTCCATCGGCTGTGGTTGTTTGAAGCACTGTGCGCTGGAAGGAAACCTCCACAAAGGGCCTCACTTGTACCTAGAACAGCAATCGCAAAACCCCCACACTTACATAATATGGATCACAAGCTGCCAATGAGCTGTAGAGGAGAGTGAAGGTGTGTTGTACCTGGCTGATGAGCCAGTCGCTGCCCTGGATGGCACTCTGAGACTGTCCTGGTTTACTGGAAATAAAAAAACGCATCGACACAGATTTCTGTCACGTGTCTAAAACGTATAAGTCTTATTACTCTCGACACTATTCTGACTTTGAGCACTCACTTGGTCTGCGGCCGGCGGACGGGGATGTAGAAGGCCCTCATGATATTGACGAGCAGCTTAATGTCTCCGTCGGACAGATTCTGAGCCGTCACCTTCTTCCTCTCTTTCCTCTGAGGCTTCAGCGGACGCTTTGGTTCAGCCAGCTTGAAAAGGTTCATTCCCAGAATCCTGATTGTCGCAAAACAAACGGCGGCTGGTATTTAGTCAAACTGCTCATTTAAAAAACGGATAACAGACGGTAAGCACATAATTTATTGAGAGATCAAAATATGTCTAACTGTGGGAGAGGATTATTACCACCAACGGTACTTAGTCCCTCCAGGTATCTGCAGTTTTATCATCACAGTACTAATACTATTCTTAATATGTAGAGCTCACGGTTACCTCAACATTATTCTGTTTTCAAAACCCTTGATGACGCAGTGAGAGCTGCTGAAACAGTGTTTTGGTGAAATAAACTGCAGAATGCTGAAGGGACTGACTGCTACACACGGTGAAGGGTCTATGTCACTACTGAACTGGTACTCAGGGCTCAAACTAAATGGAGACACAGAGACACAGACGGAGGGAGAACAAAAGAGAAACTCATACCCAGGACCTGCACCACTGTTAAAAACGCATAGCAGAAAAAAATGGAACAGAAGAGTTTATAACATTCACTTTAGATAATGAAAAAGAACATGCAAAGTAACAGCCAACATCGTGATAGGCTCTGACAGTTGTACATTATCATGTGTAAATCTGAACTAAGATTATTCCAGAGTTCCTGTTATCACGTCAACATGTTCCAGAGGACAGAGAATCCGCTGCGTTGAGCTCAAGATCAAACCGGCCAAGAGACACTCTCACATCAGCTGACGTATAAAGGCCTGGCACGCTGCGTCATATTTCAATCCTCTTTGAAAAGAGGAATAAGAGAAGGATATACAGAAATACAAATAACTACATGCTCACAAGCTTGAATTACTATCGTGTGATTGGCAAGAAAGAAAAGCAAAAACACAGTAACATGCTCAACACAGGAAGGAAGAGAGCGAGCTGTGAGAGACGAATGAATCAGTTAGTGGTGTTTATGGGGGAGTTACCCGATGCTTGGGATCTCCTCTTCTATCACCAGGTCAGACAGAAGGAAGTGATGTTTGGCAAGAACAAATCTGTTGATGACCGACTCTCGGATCTGTGGGGAAACAACAGGACCATTGAAGTGGGTCTGCTCAATTACAGCCAACAAATCATAACACGATCACGTGAACTTGAAATATAACTCTTACTTTAAATAAACATAATGAACTATTGGGGTAATGTTACACATTTACACCCCATAAGCTGCTCACCTTCTGGAGGTATTTGGCTACTAAGGCTCTGTGTGAATCCAGATGTTCTTTCGTGTCGACTATCTCTCCTTCTTTCAGTCTCTTCTCGTATTCCTGAAATCAAAAAGGAGTTGGTGTCATACAGAGCTCATTCTGCCACGTCCACACTATTCTGCTGTATAATACATGCTTTAGTATTTATGATCTGACCTGGAACACCTTGTCAGTGACCTCCCTCTCCACAGCAGGAACACACTTGTAACTTCGAAACTCTGCGACCTCCTGGTTCCTGAGACGGAGCAGCCGAAATCTGTTGGACCTCTCCAACTCTTCATCGGTGACGAAGTTGAACTCCTCCTGCAGCTGCTCCAGACGGAAGTAGTCCGGAGCCGTCACCTCTCCGCTGCTGGCCACCTGGTGAGCCACAGGTACGGAGACAGAAGCCATGTTTCCATTTGGAGTCTCCTGGATCGTTGATATTCTTTCTTATGCACAGAACTATATTCTCATACGCACTTTGAGCAGCTGCATGATGGAGGCGTTTTTGGGATCGTTGGGGTCCAGTCGTGACTGTGTGGCCCACTCGCCAATTTTTTTCATGTCGTACAGACCAGAAGCCCCAATAAATGTGACCGCATCAAGACGGCCGAGGCCGCTACAACACAGAGAAGTAAAGTGATTAATATGGTACATTGTTACACATACGAGGTACAGACGTGAAGGAGTACACAGGTGTTTCTACATTACGGAGGACTTTCTCAGCATACTGCAACGTTCACACACATTTCACAACTTCTTGACTTTTCCAGATCATTCACAACCTTTAAGTAAAAGACAGAGCTTTATAGTATTCTTTACTCCAAATGTTACTCATGTAAAACAACAAGCTTTTCCAATCTCTAATCGTTGTTTCTGTCCACATTCACTTCAAATAGTTCAGACTACAGTTATACTTATATACACACTTATATCAGTCTGGCTTTCATATATCAGGAAAAACAAAAGTGCATGTAACATTATATTACATTAGATTATAATCTAAGTCTGAAAAACAATGCAACAACATAAGTATGTCACCTACAAACCACATAATACTTCATGGCTCGGATCTAAAATCTCTTGAAACATAATATTAGGCAGCTGGCATAGAGGGAGAACATGAAGAAACGTGCGGGATTAAAGCTACGGTACACAGAAGATAAATACATGCTATGCTGCCTCACGTGGAAGGTTATCCACGGAAGATTACTCTCACCATTACTTTCACTAAACAACAAAACTTTCCAGGAGTTAACGGATTGCGTGACTCTTCCAGGTTTTCCATGACGGTGGGAACTGTGATCCTGGATGTTGTTAGACTCGGTTCTCTGACTGCAGCTCATTTCAATGTGTTATGACACTGAACTTGCAGAATCCGTCACAGGACGCTCTGATATGAATGTTTTGATGATTTGCATCAACAATTAATGAGCCTTGAGATTAATTTATGAACCACGTCATCAGAAAAAAACAGAACCAATAAGCAAACATGGGAATGTTTATGGCTTGGCAAATGGAATCTGTTGTTGAATGCACTATTAATGTTGCAGATCAGCATTTCTCATGAGCTGTTGAAGGCATCAATCAATATAGAGTGCTTCTGCTGCCGCTGCATAACCTCTGATGTACAAACAGAGCTTAAAATTTAATATGATTGATTACACTAAACAAGTTTAAAGTCTGAGGACGTTGCTGACATAAGCTGAAACCACTGCACTGCCGAATCTAAAGGCCTACAGTAAGCACTGATGTAAATAACTAGATTATGGGTTAAAGCTGTCCTTTAAGTGACACTACCTGTGTGCGCCGCCAGGATGCTGAGACGCCGGAGGGGCGAGTGGGACGCCGTCCTCCCCGGACCCCCAACAAACACAGCAGGACAGCTTCCCGGAGGTCAGCAGGGTCTGTTTGTTACCGCCGTCGGCCTCAAAGGAGAGCGGCACGTCTGGAGAGGCGTACAGAGAGGATGAGTGACAGGATGACAAGGCCAAACGTGAATGTACGGGAATGTACTCGTGGGTGAGCTGGTGTCAGATGAAGGCATTTACCGCTTCCAACGCCCTCGTGGTTAAACATCACTCTCTGGTTGCTGCTGAACTCATATTCCTCGATAGGGACGATGCCCGTCACCACTGAGGGCTCTGGAACCGGAAGAAACACCTGAGCCAGGAGGGAGCATGGCGAGCCCATCTCCTCAAACACCTGCCCACACACACACACACACACACACACACACACACACACACACACACAC